ATATAGGTTCCACCTTCCAATTGCATATCATGGACGTGCATCATCTATTGTCATCTCAGGGACAGACATTGTTCGACCTCGGTATGGTTTTTTCTTTTTCTTTTTCCTTCTGAGTTTTCCCTTCTTTTGATCGGTAGTTTTTTAGTATCAGAGTAAAGAAAATGTAAAATGAGATAGAACGAAATAAAGGTGCTTAGCTATATGCCAATCTTTTGCCAACCATTCTCTGAAAACTTGACTGGGGATTTCAATATGATGGTATTGGATGTCATCCATTTCAATTTTAATAGGCTTATTTATCTTACTGTCATGATTTGTGCTTGCACATTTCCTTTATAAGTTTAACGGGCACTCGTACACTCTTGGTTATTGCTGTTTTAATTCTATGCTCCCATTCTTTCTAGCAAATGGGTTCATTCTTGAAGTAGCTGGCTGTTATCTTAGGATTTTTCTCATGTATTTACCTTCTTCAGAGGCCAGAGCGCTCCAATCGTAAACTCTCCACCACACTTTGGTCCTTCCGCCAAGATGGACTTTGAGCTGGAAATGGTGAGAATCCTGAACTCAGATGCGCATGCAGATTTTTAACAAAATTTTGGTTATGTTATAGTCATGTTATGTTGTTCTACTTCTTTATGGGTATAATTTTGACATCTGACACTAAATGTTACAGGCTGCTGTTGTTGGTACTGGAAATGAGTTGGGAAAGCCTGTAGATATAAATAAAGCAGAAGATCATATTTTTGGCCTGGTGCTGATGAATGATTGGAGTGGTAAGAATGCTGTGCTAATTTTAAAATTTCTGCTTGCATGCTTGGTCAATGTCGGATACTTCGTCTTTTCACAGCCAGAGACATTCAGGGATGGGAATCTGTTCCTCTAGGGCCCTTTCTTGGGAAGAGTTTCGGTAAGTACAAACATTTTCCTTTTTTCTTCTCGTCTTTTATTCTAGGAGCTTGAGGTAGAACTTATACCATTGCATTTACTGGCTAGAGATTGTAGTTTGCGTAACTTTTGTTAGAACTCTTAACTCGCTATCTCTCTGTTAATGTTTTCAGGGACCTTACTCCTGTTTTCCTACATGATGTTTGTTTTAGGTACTACAATATCCCCATGGATTGTTACACTAGAAGCCTTAGAGCCTTTCAAATGTGATTCTCCAATACAGGTACAACCAGACCATATCATCCCTTTTCTTTTTCTTTTCGTTCTTTTACTTTTCTAAAAAAAATAGTAACGCCAATACAGCTCGAACAAGTTAAATGATTTGTGCCTTTTGTTGTAGGACCCACCTCCATTGCCATATCTAGCCGAAAAGACATCCCAGAACTATGACATCTCAATGGAGGTACTCAATTTAGCTTATATAAATCCATTATACAGCATTGTAGCTCATGTTTTTTTTTTTTTTTTTTTTTCCTTTTACTAAATTCTTGCTTAGTACACCTTTTTATAAAATCCAGTATTTTGTTTTTCTCTCTTGCCATTTTATTTGTCTCATGCAAAATTTATCAGGCTCTTAGCAACAGAGTGTAGTTTCTTGCTTGACATAGTGATGAATATATCTGCCTATTGCCAGGTTCTACTTCGGCCAGTTGGCCAACAAGATACACAAGTGCTAACAAGAACTAATTCTAAGCATTTGTAAGGAGGCACTACAACTCTTTCCATGTATTATTTAAATCCTGTGATGGCCATTCCTTTCCCTCCTTCCTAAACCGTGGATCAGTAGATCTTTCATATGCTAAAAACCAGGTGCCAGTGCCAGTCACCTTTAACATGTTTCATGTCCAGCAGTTCATTAACTCTTTTCACATTGTAATTATCATGGATTTTTACTTTCTCAGTTGTCCACTTTCCATTAAGCAAGTTTTCTGTGGTGCTTCTCTATCTTTCCTCGATTTACTCCCTCTCGCAATGTGTAGGTATTGGACGCTGCCTCAACTGTTTGCACACCATACTATCAATGGCTGCAACTTGCAGCCAGGTGATCTCCTGGGGACTGGCATCCTAAGTGGACCTGTATGACTTCTACTCAAGATTCGTTTTGCAGTTTTGTGCAATTCCATGAGGGTGTGTGTGTGTGTGTATGTGTGTTTTCCCCTTAAATAAAATGGTCTCAAAATTTTGAAGTCGTGTTCCTCGCTTTGATTTGGACACAGGAACAAGAATCTTTTTCCTGCTTGCTGGAGTTAACATGGAGTGGACAAAAGCCAATGGTGTTATCACATGGGATATCTCGTATGTTTCTAGAAGATGGAGATGAAATCATTATTACCGGTCAATGCAAGGTTTTTCGTTTTTTCATCATATTTGTCTTCTTATCATATTGAAATGTTAGTATATTCAATTTGAGAAATTGAAATGTTCAATTTTATTGCAGGGAAATGGATACACTGTTGGGTTCGGGACATGCGCCGGAATGATTGTTCCTTCGCCTCCTTAAGAAGCTGGATATGCTTTGCTCTTGTAATAAAATCCGTATAAGCTGTAAGCAACTGGAAAACAACCTGATGTTGTTCATCGTTAAATAAATGTGTACTTGATTGATCATGCAAACCTTTCCGTTCTTAGTTGCCTTTGAGAAAAAGAGAAGAGAAAAGGGTTGAGGCCATCAGTCTCATTGCACGTACATGAAAGAATGAAGAGACAAAAGAAAGAGAGTACATGAAATATTTGGACACTGAAACCAAATTTATGCGGTTCAAAGGAGACATTGATCAAATGCTGCAAAACCAATCATTAAGAGAGAGAATCAATCCTGTTGCTTCTAAGATGAATGCCAATCTTTCTTGATATCAAATGTGTACTTGATTTCCAGGTAGCACTTGTTGTCATCATCAACAAACTGCAAGCAAGCCCACAAACAAACAAACAAACTTCTCATCCATTTAAGGACTAAAACAGCCATTTTTTGAGACTAAAACACAAAGTTGAATTACCTTGGTTTTGGCCGAATATGATCCTCGAGCAAAAATGCCAGATGGGGTTGTATCTTCTGGGATTTCGTGGGTGTAAGGTTCTTCCTGAGGACTGAAAGTTCCCAGCATTTCTTTTGAGCTATCGACTGTTTTGTTGAGATTTTAAACACCAAAAATGGCTGAGTCTTTGATGAAAGAGATGATAGAGAGAAACAAAGAAGATATGTATCTAATCTACCTTTGACACCAGTTTTCCAGACTGTGTTGGCGTATTTGAGACCTGCAACAATGTTATTGCTAACTTTGAAGGTGAAGATCAAGCTGTAACGGCTGCCTTCTTTCAATGTAAACCATGGCCCTTTTGGATTCCCACTCTCAGGAACTTGTAGAACAATGTCTGCCCTTCCTGGGCTTCTAATCGCTAGGCTAAGAATCTTCACCTCTGGTTCCAAAGTTTCTGTTTTTTTTTTTTAGCATTAGTTTACGATATGATGGTTGACTGTATAACTGAAAGCTAATAAGAAACGGTTTACAGAATTACCTCCAACAGCTGAAATATCCACACTCCCTAGAAGCTGTTCCTTCCACCTCCTCAGGCTCTCGTCGTCCTAAGAGAAACCATTTTGGAAGCATTAGAAATTGAGCATGAAAAGAATTGATTCGACCCAGAAAAGGAGAATGAAAAAAATGGAACCTTATCTTTCTCAAACTGTTGTTTCAGCGTACACTGAGGACCCAACTCAATCTTCCTTCCGTCTTCATCTTCATCATCCTCTGCTGCTGCTGCTGCTGCACACATAAAACCCTCACTTCTTTTTCTACTTTCATCCCAACCTTCATATTCTTCAACTCCAACTATTTTCTTTGTCTCAGGACAACCATTTCCGTCTTCATTGTTGTCAAGACCCATTTCGCTTCAATGCCCGGAGAAGTCAAAAGATCATCCACTATATGGTTTGAGGACAAAGAAGAAGAAAAAAAAACGACCCAATTGGTGGACAAAAGACCAGAGAGATGAGGGAAAATAGACAAAAGAAGCTAAGAAAATGAAATGGAGAAACCCACACAAGGATAGGCCTGGGAAATTAGAAAGAAAAAGAAAGGGATGAATGAAACGTGAAGAGAAATGGTCGTCTGGTGATGCTAAAAATAACAAATGCGAGTATGGGGAGATCGTGCAGGTCACTTACGGGTCACAGGGGATTCCAGGGTGTTTCTTTTGTAAAAGAAACCAAATTCAGCTCATCGAAGAAGAAGAAGAAGAAGAAGAAGATGATGATGATGAAATGAGTGGAACAATTTGACCTCGTCTTCCGGAGAAGATTCCTTCAAATCATTGGTTTTCATTGGAAATACAATCTTCATGTTCTTATATCTTCTGCTTTTCTTTCTGAAATTTACGATTTCTTGACTCTTATCTCAACACCTAAAACCTTAAAACCGATTACTCATTCCAGGCTTAGCTGGTTCTTCACTTTTTTTTTTTTTTTCTTTTGAGAAATTCTTCAATTTCATCCATTTCAACGAGTGGTGGAACCTAAACCGTACCTTTAATAAATTTTGCAATTAATTGGGTAGTTCATCAGTTTTAGGATCCTTTCGGATCGTCCATTGAAAGAGGTGAACTAAGCATTCCTTGTCTTTCAAGATCTGTCTGTTTGAGAGCAAAATGAAACATTTGAGAGTAAAATGAAACATTTCAGAGTAAAATGAAACATTTCAGAGTAAAATGAAACATTTCTTGTGGAAACCTCTTCTAGATGCGTTTTAAAACTATGAAGCTAACAAGTATACATTACAGGCTAAAACGGACAGTATCTAAAATTGACAATATCGGCAGTGGTAGGGTTGTTACAAATGCTATTAGAGTCAAACGTCGAGCGATTTGTCAATGAGGATGCTAGTCCCCAAGGGAGTAGATTGTGAGATCTCACATCAGTTCAAGAAGAGGAACGAACCATTCTTTCTAAGGGTGTAGAAACCTCTTCGTAAGATTGACAATTAATACCCGGGCTGTTATCCGTAAACAACTAAACTAAACATGTATGATTATATAAAGAAATGAAAATTATAACAAGGTTTAAAGAGTAATTATGTAGCTCAAATCTTTCTCTTTTGGGGTTGTTTTTTATGAAGGGAACAAACTCAAACATCCAGTTTGAAAGGATTAACTCTAAAGATTCAAAGGTATCAACATAAAAAAGAAAAACTAAATCTAGGAGCCAAACATTTTTCCATGAAGATCAAAAGTAACTGGGAAGAAAGATCAATCGTTCCTCCATTTCCTTGCAACTCTGTCTTTAGCAGAGACATGGCCCGAGACGTCTTCGTTTGAAATCTCGTCAAACTCAGCATCATTATTTGAAGGGTTCTTTCTCAAAAATTTTGAAGTAACCAAAGTCAATCCATTTCTTGTTCCTCGCAAAGCATACAGCAATGGGTTGATAATAACAGCAAGCAACATTCCACCTTTCGCAACTATGAGATACTTTTATTGGAAATTTGCACCAGGGGGATGAGAGATTAGTTAGATTGCAACCAAACGATTATAGCCAGAATCTTAGATAAGTTAAGGAAAGTACTCACCATGACAATTATACCTAAAACAGCAAGACTAGTCTGTTGTGCTTCGGACCAGAATTGGTCATCGGACCAACCGAACCACCCGCCTGATCCGAACCAACCTCCTCGTCCACCACCTCCGTCACCAGCCATCTCCTCTCTTTTCTTTATTTCATTGTTCCATTTCTCAAATTCATTTTTCTTTCCCCCAAGTGCACTTTCTAATGCCTTCCTTGCTTGTTCCTGCTATCAACAAAGAGAAGGCTAATTTTGAGCAAGATTTTCTTTTGTTCCAACTCCCAAACACACTTTGTTGGGCCCAATAATGAAGAATAATGCACTGCAAGTTTGTGAATGGATAGTCATTGATGATTCCCATGGACAATAAAATATGGGATAGAAGAATGCTTCCAGAAAATAATTGAAACAGATAGAAACAAGTTGAAGTCCTCTCTCAAACAGGATTAGAACAATTCATACTTCAATTTTTCAGCAGCCAGTCATCTAGATTTGTTGGCCCTTTTATTTTTTCTCTTTGGACGAAATTTATATAGCAAAAGCAGACATATACAATTGGAAGGCCAACAATAGGGATTCTTAGGAGTCACGAACCTCCATCCACTTTGAGCATAAGCTCTCGTAGCTTTACTTTTGGTTTCCTCAAAAGGCCTCGTATCAAATACTAATGGAGATGTATTTCTTAAACTCAGGATCAATCCTTAATTAACTAATGTGGGACGCCCTCCCAACAATCCTCAACCGGGATAATATAACCACAATTCTTCCTGACATTACATAGATCATAAAACCATCAAAATCCCCCCTCCCACAACCAAAATACATCAGAAAATTTACAGGTTTCTTCATAGAAAAGCTTATCTTTATGGTCTTCTAAGTTGAAGAATTCAAGTATAAGAAGATTAGTATCCACTAAAGTTTTCTAATAAATGTACAAATAGCTAGCAATACCGAGCAAAGCTATCCAACCAGTGCTCATCACTTGATGCTTGTTAAGGAATAATGAGTATTAAATTCCAACTCCAAATCATCCCCATCTCCCATCCTACCTCTGAACTAATTACCCAAACAGTGTTCTATCGGTTTCTCAAAATTTCCCCCAAAAAGTAAGCAACAGAATTCAAACCCACTGCACAAAGTTTCGCCACTCATTTCTCTTTCAAAAGAAGCTAAGCCGGCAATATCAATCCCAGGAGAAAATAACTATGTTCTTGACAACGAACACAACAGAAAAAAGAACAAGCTACAAATTCTAACCAGGGCAAGGTTGAAACAAATAAATAAAAGAAATATCCAGCACCTCCCTTCGATTATCGGAGAAAAGGCAAGAGAATCTGCTGTTGCACTTGAGCTTGGACTGTAAAAGCGCCCATTCGTGCGTTGCGTTTCGAGGGCGGAATAACGGTAGGCCGGAGCGAGTTAGGTCATCGGAAATGGAGGTCGATAGAGCGAGACTTCGAGTTGGAGGGATTAAATTGAGAACCTGAAGCATTGTTATAGCATCTCCCGGCCGATAAACCCCGGCCTCTGCACTTCGACTGTGATGGGCAGAGTGAGAGAAGCGACACGAGCGCTGGCCTTAGCCACTGGGTTTTGGGTATTTTTTTTGCACTCAGAGGGATAACTTTACGGTAACATATTAATGAAATAAGCTATGAATTTTTTTTTCTTTTATTTATAATTATTACATACTAATGAAATATGATCCTATGAGTTTTTTTTTCTTTTATTTCTGAATTATTACCCTATAAGTTTTTCTTCTTAATAATTATTAATATACTTTTTATTTATTTATAACTATTATATATAATATGAAAATGAATTATTTGTTCTTATAAATAATAATAATTATTATTAGTTTTCAATAATAGTTTCTATATTTCAATTGTAGGAAAATATTTATGAAAGATATTGATGTGGATTCAATTTTTTGAGAAATTTGTAAAAATTAAGAAAAAAAAAGTATATTTATATCAATAATAAGTATTTACCATTTTTAACGGCTTAGAATATTTATTATTGTATTATTATCGTATTAATGATATTTTATTGTTTATTTTATATGTTTACTAATTTTTCTTATAATATAATAGAAATGTCATTCACTTTCTATATCAATATCAAACATATAAATTTATAAAAATATAGATGATCTAAATTAATATTTAATATTTAATATTAAAAAAAACTAGTTGATAATACATTTTGAATATGAATAGAGATATAAATGTAAAAGAAAAAATATAGATCTAATGGGCTTTTATATAGTTTATAATGGGCCTCATACAATATAGTTGGGCTGGGCCTTGGTACACTAAATTACAAGTAATCGTGTCATTTTCCTACAATGAAAAGTAATTTAAGATAATATAAGGTATGTTTATGAATGATTATCGGTAAATAATATGTCAATAAATTAATCAAAATATTATAAGAACAAGTAAGAATATGTCATATCCAATATAGTTTCTAATAATAAAAATTAATTCACGTATAGTTGGATGAATTAACGCAAATTATATTTTTTTAAATGATTTAATATTCTCTTGTGTCCGTCATTAAATAAAAAAAATATTATCACATTAAAATTAAGCATAAAAAAACATATTAAAAAGTAAGATATTGATTAATGGTAATCTTCGTTGTTAAAGACTTCTCACACAAATTAATTACACACAAAATTGTAATAAAAATAAACTACGCATATAAACGTGGTGGCACGTGGCAGCAACCACATAATGATCTGTGTTTCCTTTTCCAAGTTGGACTCTCCTTTTGCCAACCTGGTCTGACGTGTTTACCTGCCACCGATTACTATTTATCATTTTAAAATTATATGTACTAATACCTTCGTAAGTTAATTTTTATGGTAATTAATTTTAACGAAAATATTTGACACAGTAAATGTTTGGCAGTAAATTGGAGGGGTAATTGTCCCCTTATTTTTATATACAGGTAAATTATTGTGTATGGCAAAAACATTACTAAATTAAAAAAAAGGTATATTTCTCTCATTTTCTTTATTTGAATTTAAAAAATATAAAATTACGAATATTCAATTTTAATGAAAATAATTTTATCATTTAAATGAATTAACTTGGGATATAAATGTGGGGACAAACATTTTAATAAATTAAAAAAAATGGTACTACACCACATGACTTAAGGCACGACTACATTAACATAATTTGGAGAATAATTAAGGTTTTTAATTATTTATTTCCACTAATAATGGGCCCCACAATCAAAAAGAGCCTCTGGAGGGTGGCCCCACGTCATCAACGCCTACGTGCAACCTAATCCCCTACATCCACTCATATTGTAATCCATCATCGGCATCTAATTTCAAAGTCGGTATACTTCATTTTATTTATTAATTTGCAAATTTTATTATATTATTTAAGAGTTTTTAATTTTACTTCAAATACAAGTTTGAAAGGGTCTTATTCAAATCTAGAAATCTACTTTATTAAATATTTTCGAAATAAGTTTATAATTTTTTCAATTAATTTGTAATTTAATAAAAAATATTTATAATATTTAAAATCAATTATAAATATAAAAAATTTATCATCCTTCACAAGTTTTCTTTTTCTTATGTTTTGAATGAGGCAGGACTTATCTCACATATCTCTTGTTAAAAATATTTTAAATTAAATTAAATATAATAATTTATTTATAAAAAGATTGTTTTATCCTTAAATTTTTAAATAATAATAATAAATCTACGAGCTTTAAGTAATTTATTTATATAATTAAATAGTTAAAGTTTTTGAGATCGTTCATAGGATTGGTTAATTAAATTTAAATTTTTTAATAAGTCCATAAAATTACAATTGTGAACATAAAATCAAAAGCTTTTTCAATATTAAAAATCTAAATAAATACAAGAAAGAAATTAGATAATAAACTTGTGCAACTTTAAAAAAGAAACAAAACGCCAGAGAAGTATGTCGTTCCATGCTAGGAATCTACACGTGGCCAAAGATAATTGGAGGTAATAAGCGGCAGTACGTTAGTGGGTCCCATGGAAAAGGAGATCATACACCGTCCAGCTGTCATCAATCAATCTTTTCGATATTATAATAATAATAAAAAGGAGGCAAGGCCAATGCATGATGGCACGCATTTTCAGTTGACCACTTGCCTTAATTCCAAATTGCTAAAATGTATTGAGATCCACCCTCTAATTCCCTCTATATTATTTTACCGTCCCCAATTTTCACCTTTTTCCCAATTCCACCCCGGATGAGTTTCTTATTTACTCAAAATGCCCTTGTTAATCCCGACGATAATTCACAATTATTTTTAGATTGGAAGAGTATAGAAGCACATAAATAGCCCTTTTATTTTATTTTTTGTAATATTGATGAATATTTAATTGATTTAATTGATTAATATAAATCGTTTAAAAAGGCAGGATATAAGTAATGATGAATTTGCATTGGATCTGATATTTAGAAGCTTAATTTGGTGTAATATTCTAAAAAAAAACTTTGAAATTTTAAATTTTGTGTTTTCTATGGTTCTAAAAATTTGAACCCTTCAAATAAATAATTAATTTAGTATTGAAAATTAATAACATAAAAACTAAGAGTTCATGATTGTATTTTAATTATTTTACTTTGTATCATATTTAATATATAAGTAAAATTAACGGATAAAATTACAGCGCATCATAAATTACCGACGTGGATTATTAATAAAGGTTAAAAAATTTGTTGGGGTTCGATATATATAATATTTTATTTATCTTCTTTTGGTTTTGTTAAGTTGACGAGATTAGTAAGATATGACGTGGCAAATTAAATGGCGGGTTTGTGGAGGTGGGGCCGGGGTCACGAGCGTCCAACCTGGAAAGCAATTGAGGAGGGCCCACCCAAAAGCAAAGGGCGGTTACGACCCTAAAAGGCGAAATCGCAAGGGACTGAATTCATGAAACCCAAACGGTGCCACGCCAGCAAGGTTCAGTGTCATGGGGTCCATCTCTGATGTTCATTCAACGGTCAATATCGTATTTGGTGGGCCCGGGGCCCACATAAGCCACCGGCCTACCCTCTCCTTTCCTATTTTTTGCCTCGTCAGCGACCACATCAATCACACACATCCATTATTTATTTCCTTTTCTATTCATCAACCTAATTAAATATCATTTATTATTTCAATATTTTCTTTTCAAACAAACTCCAACTTGCATGCTATGAGAAAATGGAAAAAAAAAATAATTTAAAACTCTTAAAAAATATATATTATCGACTAAAATGTTAAATATTTAAATCTTTCCATTTAAATATTATTGAACCAAGAACGGTATCTATTCAAATCTACCATTGTCAGATATTATTCTCTTTAGGCTTCCATTTCCCGTTGAAGTATTAAAATGTCTATGTTAGGGAGAGATTTCCATTCCATTGAGGAATGTTTCGTTCCTCTCTCCCGACTAATGTCGAATCTCACAATTCACACCCCTTGTGAGCCCAACGTCCTCATTGGCACACTGTCTGGTGCTTGACTCTATTGAGGGTGTAGAAACCTTTCTCTAACAGAAGCGTTTTAAGACCTTGAGAGGAAGTTCGAAAAGAAAAGCACAAAGAGGAGAATATCTATCAGCAGTGGACTTGAACGGTTACAAAAGCATGTTAGATAAATACGGGGTATGGTTCGGGCAAATACATTTTAGATAAATACGATACTTATATATTACTAAATGTGTATTATTGAGTGTTTTGAAAGGAAAATAAGTAGAGGTAGACAAAATTAATGTGATTCCAAAGAATGTCAGGTAAATGAGGTGGCAAAATAAGTAAGGATTATTTGGAGTCCTCATGGCTATTTTCCACTTTTCCCCAACCTCATTATATTTTATTGTAATTCACCATTTTTCATACACCTATATAAACCCTCTCTCTGCTGCTTCTTTCCATCAACTTGCTCTCTTGCCTCTCTCTCTCTCTCTCTCTCAGTATTTTAGTTTCTTCTAAGCTTAATCTCTTCTTCACTTCCCTGTTGCTTCCTCTTCCCTTTCCCAAATGGCCACCATTGAGGTAATTTCAAGCTTTTATACCTTTCTCTCATGGCTTTAAGATCTTTTTTTTTTTGTTTTTCTTTTGATATTCTAACAATGGCTGTATGAGTGTGATCATGTTGTTACAGATTTAATGATCTGTGGGTATTGGATCACATTCTCATATGAATATGATCATTGAACGCTGTTTTAACATATTGAGTTTGAATGGCAATCCATAATGAATTGTGCGATCTGGGTGTGGCAGGTTGAATCAGCCCCCGTTGTATTGCCAGAGCCTGAGGCAGCTCCAGTGGTCCAAGCTGAGGAGAAAGTTGCAGAGGAGGCAGTAAGTGAAGCAGCCCCTGCAGAAGAGCCAAAGGAGGAGGAAGCTGCCTCTGAAGCTGTTGAGACAGAGGAACCAGCACCGGTTGCAACCGAACCCGAGGTCGAAACCAAGGAAGTTGTGGTAGAGGAGGCAGCCGAGGCAGTGGAGGCAGAGCCTGCAGCTGCTGCTGCTGCTGCTGCTTCCGAGCCCGAAGCAGCGGCCGAGGCGGAAGAGAAGAAGGAAGAGACCAAAGAGGAAACAGAAGAACCAGTGGTAGAGAAAAAAGAAGAAGAAGAACCTCAGGAAGTGAAGGCTGAAGAGACTGTTGAAGAGAGCTCAGAAGAAGCAGCAGCACCAGCTGAGGAAGAGAAGCCAAAGGAAGAGGAATAAGGAGACGAGCAATGGAGAAGGGTGGGCTTAAAAGTTAGTTTTATTTGGTGTCTCAGTGTTTGTTTTATGAATTAAAACACAGAGTTGGAATTTAAGGTTGCAAATATGGGATATGAAGCTCAGTCCCAGAAGAGTCGTTTCATTTCATAGCTGTGTGGTTGGGATATGTTGTTCTCTAGCTTTGAATAAAATCATATTTAAATCTTATTTGGTGTTCTAAATTATCCTTCCCTCACAACATAACATAGTTTCCTTTGTTTCTTTCCTCTTTTATTCAACGACCAATCTAAATACACTTCAAATTGGTCAAACATTCATTCAACTCAACATATATAAATTAAATCAATGCTTACTAAACTAAATACTGGAAATTTAAAGATTTCTATTAAGGGACGGGTTTCTTAGACATAAACCTAAAATTCTAACCCTAAGGACCAAACTTGTTATCAAATTTCTCTTTGTCGAAAACATAAATTGTTGTGTGAGATCCTATATTGATTGGAGAGGAGAAGGAAACATTTCTTATAAAGGTGTGAAAACCTCTCTCTAGTAGACGTGTTTTATAATCGTGAGGCTGAAGATGATACGTAATAGATCAAAGCAAACAATACACGGAGTTCCTCAACCCAAAGAGTCAGTGCAGAAAGAACATTTTCCTTTTTCTATAGCATAGTTTTGAACATTGACAAAAGCAGAAATGACACTCTATTAACAGGACGACATCGAACAGTTAAAACGGAGTTAGATTCACAGAACACAAGTATGACATTTGTATCTATGGATTCTGTACAAGGCAAAAACAAAAATATGTGCAGACAGCAGTATACCATAAATGTACTGGGACTGGAAGTCTGGAACACGAGCAAGCAAAAGGGGGGTTACCATGTACCAAAGCTACATCCAATGTGCTCTTGAGTGATAATTTCGAGGCATCTTTTCATGATCGACTCGGAGGGATAAGGAGGGAAACACAACCGGAAAAAGCATGTATGAGAAGAGGGAAGATGATCGTATGGCGATGAAGACTTGTAAATGTACAGCTTTGAAGCCAAGCCATTGAAACCCTGGATTGGAAGGTATTTCACTGAGGTCCAGAAGAACAGAAGATTAACCCTCTGCTCCGGTGTCATTGCAGACACAATCTGCCATGAAAAGTAGAACTCATCATTAATTATCCATCAAAGTTTCATTTACTAGCTGCATATAAATGCAAGATGATACATTAATGCAAAAGCTTAAAAGGAATGTGATATGCAAACCAATTATGAAGTTGTGAAAAGGAACAGCAAGCAAACCGTGCAAAACACTGAAGATAAAGCTGCTACTAAAAACTAATTCTAGAAATGCATACCTTCCAGAACCAGGATATCTGAGGATCAGTTTCTTTGTAGCCACTGTATTCAGTGTGCGCCTTCCAATCTTCAACAGAGATTTGACTTTCACTCCCATATAGCATCCAATCAAGATCTTCAAGCTCTAGGCTTTGGAAAAAGCATTTGTGTGATCGTTTATCAGCAAGTACATCAGTAAAACCATTTGCAAAATATGATATCTGCTTAGAGACAGATTTCATGAAGCGGTTCTCAATGAGAAGCTGAACATATTCCTTACGATTCTTACTATTGACAACCACGTCTTTGCCTCCAGGACAAAGATCCACAACTTCTCTCGTCCCTAGCTCCTCGAAATCACTAGCAAATGTAAGTCCTAAAACATCTGAATCAACAAGCTCAGCGTCCATATCAAGAATCTGCTTACAGCTACCGTACAAGTATGGATCAGCATCTCGTATATCTTCCAAGGAGATGCACATTCCAGCCAATTGCAAGAAAAAAACACGATCAAAGACAACACCAACTTGCACATTATGCATCAAAGCTAGTGCAATAACTCGGCCAGAAAAACTGAAATAACTGAGATGCATAGGGTCCACCTTTGAAACTGCAACATGTGATCATACATGTAAAGATATGAATAATTTGCGACTAACATTTGCATCACACACGATTTATAAACAGCAACATAACTGAGTAAGGCACACTGCACTTGAGGATCTTAAAATCTCAGATGAGAATATGAATGCTAGTTCCCACATACTTCAGCCTTAAAAATTACTTCCCACATACTTTATATTGTTGCATTAAAAGAGTTGCTCTTAATTCTTATACAGTTCAGATTAGTAATTAATAAAAAATAGCTTTAAACTTCATATTCTTCAATTCTACTGGTAAATTACAAACTTCATTATGACAGGGAACAACAGATACTATCCAAGAACAGAGCAGTTAAGTGGACAAGAGGCACTATCCAATAACAAAGCAGTTAAGTGGGGGTGGTAGAGCAGATCTTGAATCTGTCGATTTCCTTTTTTAGTAAAGAAGCGAGCTTTCATTGAGAAAAAAATGAAATAATACAAGGCACACAAAAAAATCAAGCCCACAAAAAAGTCCACCTAATGGAAGGAGCTCCAACCTAAAAAATAACTACAAAAACTTTCATGGACGACACCTACAGAGAAACATGTTTTTTTAATAAGAGACAACTTCATTGATGTTTGAAATTTTCAAAAGGGATGTTATCCATGTTGTTTAAAAAAAAGGGGGGGGG